CTATGAGTGCAACTCCATTTCTTCTAAGAGTTTCTTGCCCACAGTAGTAGATATAATGGTCCCCCGAATTAAATTCACCCATTCCCGCCCATTTCAGTTCGCTGATTCCCAAGATGTCGATGTTCAATCTTGTCATCTCATGTTTGACCACATCCAGCTTGCTAGTCTGTAGGGAAGCATAATTTTTTTTCAGGACATGTCTAAAATATGGCCCTAGGTTAATATTATACCAATTTTGACTACTGTACTGTGATTCCTCAAGGACTATCTAACAGGAAACAGTATGGAATTGCAAAATTTTAACTAAAGAGAATTTAAAAAATACCCATCCCAGAATGATTACGAGTCTCAAAAATGTCTGCCACCTACACTTCCAAGTAAGAGGTTAGATTTTATCAAGAAACAACATGATGAAAACATGTCAGTGGGAACTGGGAATAAGAGAGAATATAGTACTCATTGGGGACATTGCATTCAGTGGAGAAATAGCATTTAAAATGATAAACAACATTGAGAGGAAAGCAGTAAAGGCATGTTAAACATTCAGAAAGCACTGGGAAATGTGGATGAAGAAGAAAGCAGCAATCATTGAAGAAATGGCATTCAGCAAGGAAATAGAATTTCAGCAGTATTAGTATTGAGGGAACAGCAGTGAGTGATCTCTGGGGATCTGTGATGAGACAGTAGGTAGAATGCAGTTTTTAGGAAAGAGAATAAGCCTCTCTCTTTGATGTAGAAATAGAGAGTTTGGAGTAAGCCCTTTAGCTTTGAGAATCAGGAATTCAGTGGGAGAAGGAGGGAAAAAGAAAAGGGAGACTGAAAAGCCAGCAAATATGTGAAAAGTAGAGGCAGAGTGGCGGGGAGGAGAAAGGACAAGGTAGAAAAAGAGAATGTGGCTGGAGAAGAAAGTTGTAGGCAAAGACAAATAATGGATATGGTTGGGAAGGGAAGGATGATAAGTGTACCTGTGTGCTACATGGTCCTGGTTCTTGAGGATTTTTGGTCCACAGAGCATCCAGAAATTAATGGAAGGAACACAGAGGTAGAGTGGAAGGAAAGTAGAAGACTCAAAGCTCTTTGCCAAGTCTTCAGGTGATCAACAGTGCTCCTTGGCTTCCTGAAGTCACCATTGGAATGATGGAGAGAGAGGCTGAAAATGAATCTTTCCTTCTCCCTCTGGCAGGCCACAAAGTCAGGGATTCTACACTGTGCTGCCCAAGGTGGTTATTCAGAGGGGCTCTTGAGTCATCCCTTCACCAAGGTCTTCCCAGTTCTGATTATCTTATATGGCTTTTAAAATACCAGCATGTGTACAGTGTGGTCAGCTTAGATGAGATTTGTAATCCAATCAGTCTTTCAGTAGGAAGCCTACATGGTTGTCACATCTCCCTGCAATGCAGGTTTTATCACTGTAGGCAGCATTGACATTAAGTCCGAGCAAATATGTAACAAGTCTTATTATATTGTACTTTTTATAGGGACATACAGTACATGCTGTATTAATTGGTCCCCTCATTAAAAGAACTTCCAGGTAGAGATGGTGAATGGAATATACGTATCTCTTTTCTTCTTGGAGGCCATAGGACTCTAGTTGTCTACAGGGTTGCCACATTTTGCCTAGAAGGTATTGTCCAATGTGGCTAAGCCCTTTTAAAATGTTTAATCTTCCTTAATTTTTTAAAGCGGATAGGTGAAGGAGTGTGTTGTTTTTTTATTAGATCTTTTAGAGTAAAAAGAATAAAAGACAAGTAAAAAACAAAACAGTAAAATACAAATAAGTAAACAAAGGGTCTAAAATGTGATGGAGTTTATGGCTTTCTAATATATCATTAATTACATGAATTATAGAATATAATTGGGGGGTTGTTACATGATTTTGGTTGTTTGCTAAACATATGGTATGCTTTTTTTCTTTTCTTTCAGGACTCAAAGCGAGGATTTGGCATCGCAGTTTCTGGTGGCAGAGATAACCCTCATTTTCAAAATGGTGAAACATCCATAGTTGTCTCTGATGTCCTTGCAGGTGGCCCAGCTGACGGATTACTTCAGTAAGTAAGCTTCTTTATCTTAATCTCTCTCTCTCTATTGTTGGCTTGACAGTTTATTTCCAAAAGCAAATAAATTTCTAAATCTGGGTTTCCGAGTATTTTCTCAAACAAATGTAGCTATTTATTTTATTTTTGCTGTAATTATGATAAACCTGGATAGTACTCAGTTCTCCTTATCCTTAGCAGAGCTATGCAACAGATCATTTTAAACTTGGGAAGAAATACTGTTCAACCATGCACTATAGGGGAACATCTGCCTGTTTCTGATCTTCTTCAGAGAATAAATGTAATACAAAAATAAATAAAAAAAACTTTCAGGGATGATGATGATGATACAGTATTCCTCACTGTAGCTGAAGAAAAGAAATGGGAAAATGCCATTATTCTCATGTTTGGCTTCATCATTGCCCAGAGTCATTTGGTTCATAGATTTTAAGTGTGGTTCTCCAACACTGCTTATATCATTAAATATTATTTGTATTAAATTACATGCAGTAATCAGTCATGAGTCCTGTAATGAAGTAGAAAGTGTATATTTGTAAACAAATATAGGCGCAGTGCAATTCTGCTGTAGGTCAAGTGTCCTAATACAGAGAGACAAGTCTCCTTTTCACCCTGATTCAGTGCACAAAAATCAGGTACTCCAAGTGAATGCCTGTTCATACCTCCTCTATGCTGTTTCTTGGATATTGGAGGCCGAAGGGGACAATCTGGGAGTAGTACAGGAGTAAACAAACTGTATGGGGTCTTTTCTTACATGGACACTGCATGTGTGGCGGAACTAGGCAGAGCCCAGTATTTTTAATCGGAATAAAATTAATGTTGGTGCTATTTTTTTTTAAATTGATTACATGCTTCTTTTCCAGAGAGAATGACAGAGTGGTTATGGTTAATGGCACACCCATGGAAAATGTGGCCCATGCATTTGCTGTGCAGCAGCTAAGAAAAAGCGGGAAAGTGGCCGTCATTGTAAGTTAATTATTATTTATTTGCATTACAGAAGCTCATAGAGGCCGAGCAGTGTTGGAAGACAGCAGACAACTGTGTATTCATGGAGAAATATGAGTGGCAGAACAAGTGCTTCCTAGGAGTATTAAAAAATCTAGAGTATGTCAATCAGGACACAGGCATAGTTTGCTTGTGTTAATTATTATTTGATTTCTCCTATATCTAAACTTTTCTCAGCAGAATTGGGAAAGGACTGGGAAAGCCATCACCAATTGGGCAAAGCAAGATTGGGCAATTTAATGTATTGTCCTCAGTCACAAAAGAGTAAGAGGATCTTTTAAAGTTCCTCTGACACTTCCTCACAGAATTAAAAGTACAAATTATTTTTATTTATTGGAATAAAAAATCACATGGGACCTGCAACAGTGTCCCTGTTTTTTCTCATTTTTCATAATAATCAGTCAGCACTATTTTTTTAGGATTTGGCTCTGTTAATAGTTTTCTCCTTAAAGGCTTGGAGAGGAGTATCTACAAAATTCAGGGTTTCCATGAGACTGATTATACTTTCTAATATGTGTTGATGTTACTGGTTTGGGATACATAATGACTTGAGATCATTCTTAGAATAGATGATGAAATATATAAAAAATAACCTTTCCATTCTGGTCTGCCGATGAGTTCTGTGAAATTTGAAATTGTCTGTATTAGTTTGCCTACCTAATTTGGTTCAGTAAAACCTGCCATTTTCTACATTTGGTAATAGTTGTCCTGTGATATTGATCTAACCCCAAAATGAAGGCTTAAGTCTAGACCAATGTTTCTCAACCTCAGCAACTTTGAGATGTGTGGACTCCAACTCCCAGAACTGGCAGGGGAATTCTGGAAATTGGAGTCCACACATCTTAAGGTTGAGAAAGATTCTCAATATGGATATGCATTCTGACCTGGAGTTATTTTTTAGCTAGAGGAATTATGTATCCATCTCGTTCAGGCAGATGATTATAAGTCATCCACAGAAAGGGGTTAATAAAATATGACTTGTGAAGGAGCAGCCAGTGTTTACCAGAAAGGGTAAGATACAGACAACACAATCAGTTGTTGCTTTCATGGTCTCCTCCCACTTGTGTGTGTCTGCTTGCATTTTAAAGCAGTAACATATGTTTCAAAAGTAAGAAGCGTGTAAGGAGTTAGTCTTGGTCCACATTCTGGAATAAGCTAGAGGTCACCAAAATGGCATAAAGGTACCCATGACCCCCCCGAATAATTTAGAGACTACCAATTAAATAATTTGAAATAAAAAACTTTGACCCAAATCTTGTGAGCTCTTTATATCTTGTGTTTGTCATTTTCACATGAGATCCCAAAAGCTGGAAGTGCATGCCTGCATTATTTCTGTGAGATCTGCAGGATTAGATTACATTACATTAGATTTCATGAGATTTATCAATCTTAAGAGATTTCAGATGAATGCAGGGGCACCTGTCCCGTTGCAGAATGTTGCTTTACCTGAAAAGATGATTAGCCACTGTACCAAGTTGGAATGGGGTTTGTTTGGTTTTGATTTAGTGCTGTTCTGGTTTGTAGATTGTGGTTTATAACTTAGCATCATGTATGAATCCAACCTTTGTCACTAAAGCAATCGAAAAATTAATAGCATGCTGCATTCAGGGACTTTAAAGGAGTCTACTGTCTTCAAGTATTAAAAAAAAAATCTGATCCTGTGAGAACAAACCATTTGAAAATAAATCTTTGAAGTGGGAGCAGATAGAGGGGCTTTTGTTCTATTATTTAGGAATGTTCCTGTTGTCCATAAAGCACCTGCAGGTATAGTTCATTCCACATATAAAAGGAAGTTATTGAACGTGCTGCCATGCTTGTAATTTTATTGTATTGATGATCTGGGAACCTGCTGCTGGTGTTTCTAACCCTGTGTGTGAATGAGCCATTTTTTAAAGATTTTTTTAAAATTCTGCCTTTATTTATTTATTTATTTATTTATTATAAATAACTCAAGGCAGCAAACATACCCAATACTCCTTCCTCCTCCTCTTTTCCCCACAACAACAACCCTGTGAGGTGAGTTGGGTGAGAGAGAGGGACTGGCCCAAAGTCACCCAGCCAGCTTTCATGCCTAAGGCGGGACTAGAACTCCCAGTCTCCTGCTTTCTAGCCTGGTGCCTTAACCCCTAGACGAAACTGGCTCTCATATGCTAAGAAAATACAGTTTGGCCAAGTACTATGCAACATTGCATCCAGATTTGACTTAATTGTGCTAGGTTTTTGAACATGGAGTATAAAATGGTTGACTCAATTTTAAAAAGGCAACCTTGTTCTTATATCTTGTAAATAGGTTGTGAAAAGACCACGTAAAGTACAGATCCCTGCTGTTCAACGAAGCCCGTCCCTTGACTATGGCTATAGAGCTTTTGAAGCCATGGATGATCGTGCAGAGTTTGATGGTCGAAGCACTCGAAGCGGCTACAGTGAAAGGAGTTGGCATAGTGGAAATGCAGGCCGTAGCCAGAGCTGGGGAGACAACCTTGACAGGGGCTACAGAATGGCTCAGAATAGGGGGCGCAACCACAGCAGAGAACGCAGCTTCAGCCGGGATCGAAGTCGGGGCCGGAGCATGGATAGAGAAAGAAGCTTGGACCCTGAATGCCAGCGACCCCGAAGCAGAGGGAGGAGCGTTGATAGATATGATGCCTATGACTATGGGTACGATGGTGGCAGGAGTCCACCAAGAGATTATGATTGGCGATCTCGCCCTAACCCTCAGCATGGGAGGGAAGCAAAAAGTGGTAGCAGAGACAGGCTGAGTACCCTCAGTCGCTCGCCTGAATCGCCACAGCCGTATGGCTATAGAACACAGGAGGAGCCAACTGCACCTGTTAGTATTCTTCTCACAAAAAGCAAATCAAATGAAGGCAAGTTCTAAAATACAGGTTAAAGAAATGTGTCCTCTTGCCCTTTGTTTTGTTATCTTACCATTGCTGATTGCAAAAATCAGTTTTGTTGATGTTTTACCATTTTTTTCCTTCTAAAAAAAGATAATCTGTAGCTTATAGAAGGACAAACTAAATGAGATACTGCAAGTTGTAGTTTTCTACATCTGGGGGGCACCATGTGGGAAAAGCCTGCTGGGTACCAATAGCCATATTCTAAGTAGGTTAGTGCATGGGGGTTCCTGGTAGGGGGCAGCAGTGTGCTTGGTGATGTGTCCCTTGTCCCTCCTCTGCCTAGTTTTATAGGAATCTAGCTTGCTACAGAGTAGCAGTCAGTCATAACCAGTATTTCCAGCTATGTCTGTGGGCAATTTGTAGACCCTAAAGGTTTTCCTAGAAAATAAAATGGTGGATAGCTGCTGCCCAGTACTTAGGTGATTGGCTACATCCAATCTGGCAGCCATTTAACCTGAAGGCCCATAAGGCACTCTCAAATTTCCAAATGTGTTCCTGGCTCCAAACATATAGGGACTTCCAGGATATAGGATATTCATTCATTAGTGTTAAACTATTGTAAAGTGCCTAAATACTTTAAACTGCACCTTTGTTTACAGAAATTAATAAAGAACAGCCAGATAGATATACAACTTTCCCCTTTGTATCTTGAAGTATTTCTAACCATAGAGGAGAGGTGTTTTGTTTTCCTTTGCTTGAATTGCTTGTGTGGGTAAGTCAGTCTCAAAATAAATTATTTCCACAGTAAAGTGAAATGTAAGAAAAAGTCCCACATTTTATGTTATTAATAGGTTGAGATTTGTCTCTTTGATATCTCTTTTTGGATACTTCCTGCAGATATACCCACACATCTGCAAATTCAATTCAAATTCTGAATGAAGCAAAATTGAATTTGGCATGCTATATTTAAAAATATAAACCATGAAAACTTATTTCCAGAAGTCCTGTTAGGTGATTTTTGGGAAAGCTCTTGTACTTCTTTTCAAGATTGTTTATATACTTGGAACCCTGTTTACACAGTGGAGAGTCAGAAAATTGTTTTAGTTTTAAATGACTTGCTGTATTACATGGCAAACATCAAGCCAATTTTCTCAGTTTATATAGAATAAATAGTGTGTATGGAAAGGAGGGACGGTGATTAAGTAGCCATCCAGTGATCTCTGGAATGTACCCAGAGGCACTGGGAGGCCAAATTCTTATGTGGAAAGGTTGAAAACACCCAAAGAAAAGGTAATTTAGAGGCAATGTGACCCTCATATATTTGAAGAGTCATCAAATACTTGAAAGACTGTTGTATACATTTATGCTCTGTATCTTAGAGAGATTAAGAACTGAATTGTAGGTTCACATTTACAAGAAAAGGAATATAGCTAACTGCGAGAAAGACAGTTTCTGATAATAGAAACTGTTGATACTGGAATAAACAACCTTGATAGTCTGCCTACTTTGTTCATCAAAGACTCTTGAACAGAGGTTGGATGGCATGTATTTCCTGCATTAGGAGGTTGGACTAGATGGTCTTTCTGATACGATCCCACACTTGGATTCTGTCTGGATTTCAAATATCTACTAGATAACACTGCAGTGATGGAAGTTCATAAGGTACTATGCAGTAGATTGGGCCTACGCAAATTGTCTTTTGAGTATAATCTACCAGCCATGCGTAGTGCCTGCTTGGATTATAATAGTTAACCTGTTTGTGAGTCCAAAACAGCCACATTTAACTGGTGGACTGTCTTTGATTTTATGGATCATAAGTTACACCCTTGGACTAAAATGTAGGGGTTGGAGGGACAAAAGGCCCCTGGTCAAAAAACGGATAGATCCTTCTTAAAAACAAAGTTTGGAAGGTGCTAGCATGCAACAGGTTCATCTGATAAACTGCAAAACTCTGTCTCTCTGTTCCTCTTGCAGAATATGGCCTGCGACTTGGAAGTCAGATTTTTATCAAAGAAATGACTAGTACTGGCCTGGCAACAAAGGATGGCAATTTGCACGAAGGGGACATTATTCTCAAAGTATGTTATTGTACAATTTCTTAATGGGGATGGAAAAATATATATTCTGGTCTTTTTTTTTTTAATGGCCTGTTTACAAATATTGGGTGGAAACTCTTTGAACTGGTCTATCGGTGCCGTTTATGCTCCAGATATAAATAAATCTGCTTGTTTTACACATTCAGATCAATGGTACAGTGACAGAGAATATGTCCTTATCAGATGCTAGAAAACTGATTGAGAAATCAAGAGGAAAACTCCAGTTGGTTGTTATGAGAGACAGAAAACAAACTCTGATTAACATTCCTTCCATGCATGACAGTGAGTCAGAAATAGAAGGTAAGAGGTTAAAAGCAAAGCTAAATATGGTTTTTAAACTGTTAAAACTGTTTTGATAGTTTTCAAAAGAGCTGTGAGCAATATCTACGTATAGTATGTTGCATCCTAAATAGATCTGTCCACATGTAAAATCTTTATATTTGTTGTTGAGGCAAAACAACAACAGACTCTTAACTGACCTGAAGACCAGATTTTTGAGGCAAGGGAGGTGAGTGAGTTTCTGTGCCGCAAGCTAAGACGAGAATGAGCCAGGAATCAGCCACAGAACGTGTATGCTTCATATCAAATTCTTTTCTTCCATGTTGTTCATTGCTTATAAAGTCCATCCCTGATACTGGCTGGAGAAGCAAATACCTCTAAATAACCAGGCTGTCTATCACACGCTATTTCACAGGTGCCAGTTTTCCTCCCTTTTCACCTATACAGTAAACGCTCATAATTGTTGGCAGGAGTTCATGGCTCAGGAAGACAATATCAGGCATAACCTCTCCAATTTTCCTACAGCTGGAGTGTCCTAGAGTTGATACCTCCTTTCCGTTTGCTCTGAAAGCAGGGCTAGAAAGAGTCTGGAAAGAGTCAGAGGTGCTTCTAGTGAAAGGAAGTATCTTCTTCCCCAGTGCTGAGGTCTAATTTGCTTGGCCTAAGAGCACCTTGGAGAGAAAGAAGACTGGTAATGTCACAATGTCTCCATAATGGATGGGATTTATCAGGTTTGGTTTGCTTTTGGTGGGCTTTAAGGCAAAAGGAATGCCTTAAAGTTTAAAGGAAAATAAGTGCCTTAAGGTGCCAGGTGACTGCTATAAAGTTTAAAGCATAGATCTTTCCCCCTAATCCTGATCTCTGGGCCAAAACAGTGCTAGAGGCCATGTGTGGCATTTATACATGGATTGTGCATACTTGAAAGGACCT